TTTTTGGTTTTTTGAGACAGGGTTTCTCTGTGTAGCTTTGCATCTTTTCCTGGAACTCACTTGGTAGTCCAGGCTGGCCACACAGCAACTCTTATAAAAGAAAACATTTAATTTGTAAAAGAGCCTCTAAGTAGTCCCACCTTAAGCTTTATTGTGCACCTGGAACTGGACTGATTGTTGCCTGAAAACCTTTCCCAAATTGTACTATGTTTTTAGCATGCTGAACAAGGAACCACCTAGCATTAGCCTCCCCGGAGTCTGACCCAGGCTGACAAGTCAGTCCACACCAGGTTTTCATTCTCATCTCTGAGGGTTGCTTCACCGTATGATACCTGCTGGGACCCCATCCTTGTGAGATCTCCCTCTTGTCTTAGTCTCTGTTCTGTTGCTGGAGAGACACCATGACTGAGGTAGCTCTTCTAAGAGAAAGCGTTTCACCGGAACTCGCGTACAGTTTCAGAGGTCAGTCCATTATCACCACGGCAGAAGGCATGGTGGCATGCAGGCGGACGTGGTGCTGGAGACGTAGCTGAGAACTACATCCTGATTTGCTGGCCGAGAGACTCTGGGCTTGGCATAGGCTCTTGAAACCTCAAAGCCCACCCCCAGTGACACACTTCCTCCAGCAAGGCCACACCCCCTAACCCTTTGAAATATAGGGCCACTCCCTGGTGACCAAGTATTCAAATACATGAGCCTATAGGGAACATTCTTTAATTTTTTTATGTTTTACTTATTTTGAGACAGGGTCTCTCTATGTAGCACTGGTTGTCCCAGAACTCTCTCTGTAGACCAGGCTAGTTCTGAACTCACAGAGATCTGCCTGCTTTTACCTCCTGGGTACTAAGACTAAGTTGTGCGCCACCACCCGCCCAGCTATAATTTTTATTTTTATTTTATCTTACATGTGTAGGTATTTTGCCTGCATGTATGTCTGTGCACCACATGCATGTCTTGTACCCACAGAGGCCAGAAGAGGGTGAGTACGGTTGTAGATGGCTGTGAGCCGCCAAGTGGGTGCTGGGAATCGAACCCGTGTTCCCTGGAAGAGCAGCCAGTGTTCTTAACCTCTGAGCTATCCTCTCCATCCCCCTAATGGGAGTCCATTCTTATTCAAACCACCACGCATCTATAAATAAAGAGATAAATAAATCACTTGGGAGGCAGAGGCAGGCAGATTTTTGTGAGTTCAAGGCCAGCCTGGTCTACATGGTAAATTCTAGGACATCCAGGGATATGTAAAGAGACTCTGTCTCAAAAAACAAAAAGGAAAAAGAAAAGAAAAGGAGGAATAGCAAGGTTATAGAACCAGGACTCAACAAGTACATGGAATAAGTCCATGACCAGAAATGCTCAAGTATATAAAAAAAATTATGGGGGCTCGTCACTACCTTTATTATGTATTCCTGTTAACATCTGAACTTTGTAAAATGGTGGCAAAAACACCTTCATTTAAACTAATCAAATTACAGAAACACTAGCAAAAAACAGACCCTTATCAACTTTTTTTTGTTTGTTGTCTGTTTTTGCCTTGTTTTGTCTTTTTGAGACAGGGTCTCTCTGTGTAACAGCTCTGGTTGTCCTGGAACTCTCTTTATAGCCCAGGCTGACCTCAAACTCACAGATCCACCTGCCTCTGGTTCCAGAGAACTGGGATTAAAGGTGTGCACCACCACGCCCAGCTCTTCATCGATTTCTTAGCCTCTTAAAAACTATTATTTATTTATTTTGTGAGGGGATTACATCAGTGTGCACATGCTATGGCACACATATGTGGAGGTCAGGAGACAACTTTTGGGGGTGAGTTCTCTTTTTCTACCATGTGGGACTGGGAGGTGGGACTCGGTTTGTCTCTCTGGGTAGCAAGAACCTTTACATGTGGAGCTATGTTCATGGCGCTTGGAGTTTTCCTTTAAAAAACAAAAACAGGCCGACCTCAAACTCACTGTCTAGCCAACAACGATCTTCATTTCTTGTCCTTCTGCCCCCACCCCCTCGCCCAGGTGGAAACTACAGGTGTACAACACTGCTTTAAATTTAAATTCCCAGATGTGTAGTTTTGGTAATGCTATGGATGGATCGGATCTCCAGGCTTTGTGTTTGTCTGGCAAGCATTTTACCACTGAGTTACACTTTCAGTCCCAAGTTCTTAGACTTCTGAATTCCCCAGATCTGACTAGAGCCAAGGAAATGTCCTGAGGTATAATCATTAACAGAGATTGTTCTAGCAGGAGATTACTAATAAAGGTTTAATTTTTACCGAGTAAGTGCAGAGTCTGTCCTTCTAAAACAGGCCAGCCTGTGTTTCCATGTCGGGTGGTCGAAATAATAATGAGCCTGTTGTTTGGGTTGGATTGTATTGAAGAAACATCCAAGAAAGGTCCAGAATG